GTGGGATCCTACAATTGACGCATTCGTATCGGCCGGGGAGTGAAAATTGTAATCTGCATTTTCGGAGCAGTACAGGCGTTTTTTTATCTGCTGCGTAATGCGCTGATTTCTTCTTGATGCTGAACCCGCTCAGTGGGGCTCGCCCTGCAAGGCCTTTGGGCTGGGAGGGCGGGGTTTTGTAAGCGAAGTCCATTCTACCTGCTTCTTGTGCGCAACTCAAGACTTAGGCCTCTTCCCTTTTTCGAGGCCGCTTGAAAGTGATCAGACACTTGTTCTCATCTACAGTGCCCACTCCTGTGGTGCACTCTGTTGGGGGCTTGATCCAAACAAAAAAAAAATCTGCATTTTCTGCCCCTCCCCCTCCTAAGCACGGGGGGCTGCCACGGGTTCGGTGGCATTCGCTGATTCTTTTGCTCGGCTGCAAAGGAACTTCCGACACTGGTGGTAGCCGTCATGGCGGAAGTTGAGCTACTGTGCATTCTCCATGCTATCTTTCCCACTTATCGCCACACAGCCGATTGCAAAACGCTCCTGAGTTGATTTAGGTGCGTGCACCCGTTTTTGTGACATGCTCGGGAAACAAGTCGCACAGATTCCTGGCGTGAACGTATGGCTTACGTATGCGCTTTGGCTTCCACGGTTGCAGCCGAAATTGTTTGTGCCATCCAGAAGGTGCAATTGAAGTGCTTCAGGTTACACTTACCTATATTCCTAGCATGGCCTGCTCTATGAAAAAGGTTGGCCGCAAATTAATCCAGGCGAAAGCTCTGCAGGTGCGAGGTCCAACATTCTGCCTTCGTCAGCGGAGTCAATAATTTGGGACATATTTGGTGCGCGAAATACTCGACGAATGCTGGCAATGTCAAAGTTTCATTTTTGTTCAATCAGCTCACGTGGAAGGTGATCTGCTATGATCTGCTCCTGTGTGCACCAACCATCATGTCTGGGCACGATTGCCACCATGTGCATCTCCAGTCTCGGTTTCATTGTGGAGCAAACAAGGGGACGACGACTTGATCTTTTCTCAGAAGCATAATAGCAGAAAATGAAACAGCTAGTCTGAGTCCCATCCAGTTTCGACGGTCTGGAGGATCGAGGGATCATGTCGGTTTGGCAAAGCGCATACAGAGACAATCGAGCACTGATCGTTAAGGCCGAAGTATGAACTGCCATGTGGGGCTCAAAGTCAATAGAGACATGCCTCGCTGCGGCAGTGGGACTGAAATCCCGCTGCCGTCGGTCGGGACCAGCCACTGCTGGCACCGAGAACATTGCTACGTTCTCGCGTGGCCGGGTACACCTGGGCGGCTTTCCGAAGACACCAAGAAGAGCACCTCACTGGGAAGGGCATCGTCCACACGAGGAAGAGATGCAGGAGGAGGGCTGGAAGGAGCACCAGGACAACGGATCCTGGGACATCCATCGAGCACCACCAACTCTTCCAGCATCGCCCTCAGAACCGAAACCCGAACCAAAACCCGAGCTCCTGAGGCATGGGCCACCACGATCTTGAGATCCGCGAGATAGACCTGATCAAGACGAGAAGGTCAGAAGAGGTGGGAGAAGGACGGCCAAAGCCTGCCGCCACCGACCCCAAAGGCCAGCCTTCTGCAAAGCCTCGACGGCGAGGTTCCCAAAGTCCTGAGGCCTTTCTGGGCCTGCCGCCTTGCACAGGCGCTGAAATGAGATCCAGAACTGTGTTGGCTTCTCCTTCGCCTCTCCGCCCCTAAGCCCTAAGCCCGGATTGGTAAGTCCCGCCACGTTTGGTTCAGTGGGTCCTGTAACTACAAGCCAGTGCCCTTGCCTGTCTGTCGGACAGCGCTGCCGGGCCCGTGCAGCTACGCAGCTCCCTTTTGGGCGGACGTTCTTTTATTCTGCTGTTGGTTCATGTTGCGGGAAGTCGAGCTCGGGGCTTTGAGGAGAGGCCGTCTGTATGTTGATCAGAGCCAGGCGCACATTCTTTAGCCGGCACACAAGCCAGATTCGGCCGGCACTTTGTGTTTGCGCAGTTTGCGTTGCGCATGCCGCATCCGGCAGCAGCGGCTGTGCCCTTTCGAGGCGGTGCAGCGACATTTGGAGAGGGTCACACAGTCAGTGGGAGATGATCCATGCTAAGACCGCAAGTTTTGCGGTCCCCGCCAGCGATGGCTCAGTCATTCGAGGCTTCACGCTTGCATTGCAGAGCGCTGGCGTCCCTCTCCAGAGGCCGGATGAGGCAGGGAACCAGGTGGAGCGGTTCCAGGGGCACTGTGGTCGACGGACCTCGTATGCCATACATAGGTACGTGCAGCAGGCTCCGCTGACACAAGTTCCGGCTGCGGCATCGAACGTTTTGGGTCAGGGCGGCAGCTTGGATGCATCCTTGGAGGCTGGCTCCGGTTTCTTGCAGATGCTCAGCGGGGGCAGTGGCAGCTCTGAACGATCGGCGATCGGGAGAGATCGCCGCGGAGGGCACACCACGCGGAGGCGGCCCCGTCATCGGCTTTTTCGGGCTTCAGTCGCCGACCACTCTGCTGGGAAAGGCGGCAAAGGCAAGCTTGATGGCAAAGACGGCAAGGGCAAGCATTGACAGCCGCAGTCCGCAGTGGCGCAGGCAGGGGCAGGACACTTCAGCGGACAGCTCGGGGGGGAGGTACGGGCCAGGGTTGGCATCGGCAGATTGGGCGCTCCCGCCCCCTTCATCTTCAGCCCAGACAAGCTCTTCAGCGCTGTCGGAACGATTGCAGCCGACACTTCATTTGGACATGCCGGGTCTCTCACTGGATCGCGATGTTGTTCTTTTGTCATTCTTTGATGGCATGGGATCGGCTGCTCCGGCGTTGACTCGACTTCAGGTTCGAGTTCGAGCTGTGATCGCTTGGGAGGTGGACCCCTCTGCCATCCTCGTTTCCAAGCGGATGTTCAGGGGACTTCAGTTTGATCGAGGTGACCTTGAGGCGGATGATGTTGACGAATTAGCCCGGAAGCTCCGGGCGCTGAACGAAGACTAAGAGCGACGATCGCTCTTAGCTCTTCTTTGTGTGCACGGGGCCTCCTTGTCCGATTTTTCTCGCATCAAGCCTGACGGCCAGGGTCGCAAAGGCTCAACAGGACGATTGTTTGAGACTTTTTGTCATTTCTTGCAGGAGCTTGAGACACAGGTGCCAGAACTGACATTTCTGTTATTGGTCGAGAACCTGGTCATGCAGAATTCGCAGGACATTGATTACTTCAGCAAGCAACTTCGTGCTGAGCCGATTGTCCTTGATGCCTCAGCTTTCGGGCTGATGCGTGTACGCGTCTGGTGGACATGTGTGGATTGGGGCTGTTGTAAAACAAATCCTTTGACGAGAGAGAGCCTTTCAAGTGGGCGAAACATCATGGCATGCGCAATTTTGCCTGAGGTCCCCAAGGACAAGTGTCAGGACGTCGTCATGCCGGGTTTGTCGTTTCATCCAGGCGTCGCTGATGGCAGTCGTCTTTTGCCTTGGATTGTTACACCGGCTCCGACAGAAGCTGGTCGCGAGCCTCCCAAGCAGATGCGAGGGAACATAGATGCGGCGACTCGCCAGCGGTGGCTGGCGGGACTAAGGCAGTACGTGCTTTGGATGTTCGAAGAATCTGCTATGGTTTCGCAACAATCAGCAGGAGCTCTTGCTCTTTCCGGCGGAGGTCAAGGAGCAGGTGCATCATGTTGCAGCTGGATCGACTCGCTTATCGGATGTAACCCCGAAGGACAGGCATCGACTGCTGGGAATTCTTGGCACTGAGGCTGCGCCATGTTTTTGATGCATCATGTCCCAGCATGCCTCACCCGGAGTGAGGGATGCTTCTGACTCGTCAGCGAAAGCAGTGCTGCAAGAAGCCGTTCGCAATGCTCGTTCATTCCCGGTGAGTTGAGCCCATCAGTCCTTCCGCCTATTTCTCAGGAGTGGGAGCACTGGATTGCTAGTAGGTCGGTTGTGCATCCTTTGTTGGATAAGCCGCGGTTGCCACCTGCTTTGGAGACAGTGTACCGACGTATTGCAGATTTCCAAGGTGATCTTAACACATATCGGCGATTGATAGTGCAGCGGGTCCACGCTCTCATTAACGAGCGAAGGGCTGTCACAGAGGTTTGGTTCAACAGTTTACCACAGCATGTCCGGGCTGCGTATGCTTTGGGCGATGAACACGTTTGTGTGCAAATCCCGGTTTTCATTGAGCTTCTCCAAGGTTGCGGCTATCCGGATGCCGATTCGCTGGCGGAAGAACTGAGCCGTGTCATGAATATGCTGGGGGGCATTCGCCCGACGTGAGGATGGCAGCCTGGCAGTGATGAGAAGTACAGGCATCCCATTGACATGGCAGACCTTTCAGGTACTGAACAGGATTATGTTCACGCTCGCTTGCGCAGCGGGCGTGCTGATGAGGAGTGGCGCACACTTCTTGAAGAGATCAGCTCTGAAGGGCGGAGCGGCAAGATGGAAGGACGTTTCAGGCACTTAAATCTTGGGGCACAGCCACTACCGCTTGTTATTCTGTTTCTGCTTTTCACGAGCTGCTTGAATGTCCCCGCAAACAGCCAGGGGTTGCTTGGGCTTTTTCGGTTGTCCAGACTGGTTCGGACGGCAATCGGAAAGCTAGGCGGTGCGAGGAATACAGGCGTTCATATCACAATTCCACAGTGTTTGCATCGGATTCTCCGCCACATGACGACATCAGCATGCACGTCGCAATGGTGCGATACTTGGCATCAATGGGCCTCTGTCCTCTGATTTGGGCTCAGGACTTGGACTCGGCCTATAGACAGTACCCAGTGGCATTCCCGACCACTGTTTTGTCACGTTGGCCACGCCTCAGGGCCCGACTTTATGGCGACATCGGGTTATGCCTTTCGGGGTGACTGCTTCTGTTTTTCACTGCAAGAAGTTCACAGATGCTTTGCTTTGGCTTGCCCGCTCTCTTCAGCCTCTGTGGGACATTCTTCTTACGGTGGCGAATGACATGGAGTATGCTTGCAGCCAGGGCGTTGCCGACGCCTTGGCTATGGAGTGGCGTTTCTCAGGCGCTCCACAGTGTGGGTGGTGAGGCGGTGGAGCTGCTGAGTGTGGGCTGAGATTGCTGAGGACGCAGCAGCTCCACCACAGAGCGCGTGACCGAAGCTTCAGTTCCTGCCACTCACTCGGACGAACGGAAGGGTGAAAATGAAGGCCTTCTGAGATCGTTGCCATAGGCTCTGCTGCATTGTGCGATAGACATGTCTTGTAGCACAAACTGTGCGGAGTGACATGTCACGAGCCACAATGCCGAAGCATTGTGGCCCAAGTGTGGTGTTTCTTGAATCACACCGGCTTAGCCGTGACGTCCGTTCAACGACTGATCGGTGGCGCTCTTTTGAACGAGGTGGGCTGAGGACGCAGCAGCTCCACCACAGAGCGCATCACCGAAACTTCAGTTCCTGCCACTCACTCGGACGAACGGAAGGGTGAAAATGAAGGCCTTCTGACATCGTTGCCATAGGCTCTGTTGAGTTGTGCGATAGACATGTCAGGCCTCCCGGCTCTCCTCTTGTATGAGGCCGGCCGGCCATACAACCAGTAAGCCGAGACGTGAACGCCCTGGCTGGACGGGTACCGAAGGTGCGTCGGTTGCTGCAGCCAGGACGTGGCCTTCCAACGGCAGAGGCTGGAGCCTCATATCCATCACCAAGCCATGCCCTGCTGACGGCTGCACTTTTCTTGGACGTCGCGGGCATCCTGGCCCGAAAAGGACTGGCTCGGATTGGCGAGATCTTTGCAGCGACTCGAGCTGATCTGGTCCTGCCATCAGATGTCCAGCAGACGATAGATTGCATCCTGCTGGCGATCCAAGAGCTAAAGACTAGGCATACTGCTGCGAAACATCAGGCCCCCAAGCTGGATCACCCTCATCTTATGAGGGTCGTGTGAAAGAATGCACCCCCTTGATCTGGATCCCTGAGGGCAGGCGGGGCAACCTGGCTTCTGCATGCCACTGCAAACGGCGAGTTCGTGAGGAGACCAGGGCGCTGGCTGAATGTCCGCATCATGGAAACATATATCAAGAAGTCTCCTCTGTGCTATTCATGTCAAGGCTGCAGACGACATTGCCCAGCGGATCTTGAAAGTTAAGCGATTCCCTTCTATGCTGGATCAAGCTGTATCCACCGTCCAGTTGGAACTCTTTGTTTGCCGTTGGTGTTGAACGGGTGGAGGCAGCTGGCGGTGCTAGCGCACGTGTACCTTCCTTGGAAGAGCAGCCAAAAAAGGATCGCCCAAGTGCTGAAGCCTTGATCGTTAAGGCCCAAGTATGAACTGCCATGTGGGGCTCAAAGTATCCCACCCTTCCTCACTGGGTGCTAGCGCACGTGCACTTGTCTTGGAGGAGCAGCCAAAAAAAGGATCGCGACTTCTCACATGCCAAATGCTGAAGCTTTGATCAGTGGCTACAAAATGTCTCCACCCGGTGCATAACCCGGATTTCCTTGGTGCCATGTGCACTGCTTTGGTTGCACATTCGGCTCGGTTGTTGAGCATCATCAGAGTGCGCTGGCGGTCTGTTCGTTTCTATGCGTGCAGTCGCATCAGAAGCTGGTCGACATCTGAGTCAAATCGATGTCGTTTGCCTGTGCCCCACAGATGTGCAAGACACATCTCAACACACGTCTCAGCTATGAAAACGGGCATTGGGTACTTGGACGGGTGGTAGCTGCCATTGTCGAAGGCCAGCTTGCCGGACGGGCAAAGTACACGAATTACTGGGAACGGGTACGGGACAAAATTTCTGGGGTTGCTTCTTCATCACCAGACGACAAAAATCATTGGGATCGAATGGAAGAATGCCAAGTTGAGTCATGCATTGCTAAACCATGTTGGTACATGGGTTTGTCGGAAAGTGTCACACAGGGTTTATGGTTGCGAGCGACTCTGATTTGACAGATCTCTATCATGCTGTTGACCGGCGATGCAGGCTCTCATCCGTGCCTGTCGACGCCTTGTGCGGCAGTTTCTTATGAAGCGTGCTCCCAAGCCTGTCCAATGTCTCTGAAAAGCGTCAAGGGAACATATTCGCCCCAGAAGAACTTAGCGAGAGGATGCATGAAATCATGAAGTCGACAGTGTTTTCTAAGGCGTGCACATGATCGATCACCAAGTGGCCTCACGCTTCACTCTGAGTGTGAAGCATGGTGGCAGTTGTGTGACGGCATCGTCATCTCCTCTTGCTGCTGACAGGTATGACCAGCTCGTCAAAGCTCTGGACAGCAAGTACACATGCATGGAGGTGGGTCTGGCGTGACGGCGGGAAGCTTCATTCTTCTTCCCTTATCTTGCTACAGCCGCAGGATTTCTGCAAGCATGTGGTTGATCCCCTCGGGCGTGATGTCAGAGACCAAGTCATCAGTTGGAAAGCCTGTCATGCACGGTTTCACGTTCTTTCAAAGGCGGAGACCCTTGCTTTAGATGCACTACCGCAACAGCTCGGCGTGGGCTTGCGCATGTGGATTCTGGACCGTCGAGATGAGGCGCCGCCGGACAGTCAACGGACGACCACATGCCAACTTGTGGAGCATTTTGGAGCCCATCGTCACTGGTTACCATTTAGGACAAGCGGAGTGGAGTGGAAGCTTGGCAAACCGGGGCAGGAGAGCCCGGCTTTACTACCAGGCACCTGCATCCGGAGAAAGCTTTAGGTGCCGGCCAAGACCAAAACAACAACCAACAAAGCAAGCAGAAACAAAAAGTAAGGCTAGACGGCCCCAAAATTTGACCACGAACGGCCGGGATGCCACCGCGGGGATGATGTGCAGCCGCAAAGAAACTGACCGTAGACCGTGTTGATGACACGACGTCACCGAGGACGGCTGTGATCTTGCTCAGTTGCTCGTTTGGGGTCTGGGCAATGGTCTTCATGTTATTAAGCTGTTTATCCGGCCTTTGAGAGTTTACGGCTTAATTATCCAGGAAGCGAGCCACAGACGTGGTGTTGTTGACATCCTGTTTTGTCAAGAAATTACCAGCTCCCTGGAGCACGGCAACTTCGGGGGACATGGTGATGGATCTGAGACTTCATATCGCACAGGACTTGTTCGATAGAGAGTCGCGCCCACGCCGTGCTACACAGGCTACACATGCACTGGAGGCCAGCCCAGTGCAGCCATGCCGACGATGTCGTAAAGCTTTGCCACGGAGAAGTCACTACGAAACTCGGAATGCCATGCCTTGCGGCCGGCATGAGTATGCAGGGTTCATGGAGGTATGAAAGCTCGTCAGGACTCAATGGATGCACGATGTCGAACAGCGCCATGCAAGTTCTTCCATCCGAAGGTCTGTACTCTGCGCAGAAGCATTCCAGCCTGTCTGTCGTAACGAAAGCCGCTGATGCTTCTGGTGGGGTCCTCTATGTGACGTGTCTCATAGTGAATCGCGACCAGAACAGGGTGGTCATGATGCGGCTGATGCTCATGCCTTTGAATCAAGACCATCAAGCTGTTTGACCGCGGATGGCTTGTGTTGGCTGGAAAGCCAATCCTTGCGAGCCACTTCGTCCGGCATGCGCTAACCAACAGCATCTCCGCATGCATGCACAGAGCTTTCGTCGCTGCCCGTGGCTGAGTAGCTTTGGCAGGTCAGCCTCATCAGCCTCGACACTCCGGGTCCACAGGGCGAGGCTGACTGCAAGAAAGCTTCTTTGGATTGTTCTGAGTTGTTCTGCTCGCGTGGCCTCTTCAGGTCGATGTCCACGTCCTCTTCAAGCCCGGACACTATGATCTGCTGTACCCAGGCCACTCCTGTAGAGCCAGTTTGATATTTGTAGAATCTTATATTGCATTGTATTAAGGAGCTGCTTGCCCTCTAACTGCATGCAGGCCCCCGTCGATGATCACAGGCGTGACTTTCGGTGCAGGGCAGTTTGCAGCAGCGTCATCTGCGCCTATCCGCACACATCATTTCGACACGCGGAGCTGTGAAATTTTGTGGCAGTGATCGTGATGGCAAAGCAAAGATTGACAGAGCTGCTGAAAACTGTCTGTGCATGCCTGCGATCCTGCGTCGCTTGCTGCTTCGCAAGCACTTCGAATGGAATTCGGACCGGTCCGAGCCTGGCCCTGCAGGGCAATTGCAGGCCAATCGTCGGACTGTAGTAGCACTCTCCATCTCCATTGCACGAACCTTGCGAGCAACCTGGCACGGGATGCTCCTTCTTGGAAGTGTGTTCCTTTTTCTCGGCACAAAGGAGTTTGTCCATGCACTGCTCCTCCCAGTCTTTGCCAACCAACACACCGCTCTTCTGCATTCAAGAGCAGCTCCGTAAGCGGCGCTACTGTCGAGTCCTTGATGGCAAAGCTGGTGGAGCAGAGCTTGGTCTCAATGCCGCGTAGGAACTGTGACTCCCATTCGCACTCATGCGAATTGACTAGTCTTACTTGCCATTTGCTGCTCTATCTGTCTACCATGGGTGTAAGACCATGCCAGCACCGTGCTTCTAGATGTTGTTCCACCCAACTTGCATTTCATCTAGTAGGGCTTTCGGACCTGACTTCATGGATTTGTTGGATACCTCGACTGGCGAAAGCTTTGAATGCAGCTTGTAAAAAGCAACCTGTAGCTAGTTGATGGCCCGGAATCATACCCTTAACTTAGCTGTGCCGTTGAGTGGTCGGAAGTCCATAGAAGAAACGGGGAGGAATGCATCGTGTTTCCAACTAATCCTGCAAGGCAGACCTGTTACAAGTTACAGCGGAGAGAAAAAGTGGATGGATCCTTTTGTTGGCAGTCGAAGGGCACACATCACCAGAGACAGGAGTCTGAATCGAGGACGATGACACGGTAAAGTGGATGGCTGTGGCAGAGCAGATCGGGGACCTGTCACCTTTGAACCCTTGAGAGACTCACCTAAGGCTCATATTCTGACAGCGCTGCATCCCCGCACACAGCATGTTGTTCCCGCCTTATCAACAGGCAGGTGTGATACAACGTGATGCAGCTGCATTGGACAGAGTCCTTCGGCTGCCCAGAAAAGGTTCTGATTGGCGATCATCAACAGCTCCGCCCATCAACAGCTGCAGGAGACTCAGCACAGTGTCTGTGTACTTTTTCTCCAGCTGCTGTCTGGCAGTCGGCCTCACCCAGCAGCAAATTCTCGAGCGTGCCGATTAAAACCCCGCTAGTGTAACAGTCTTGGATGTTGAGGGCGGCCGCAACTACTTGCATAGGCTGAACGGAGTCAGAGGAAGCGTTTGTGTGGGCCTGGGCGATTACCGATACCCCGCCAGATACCCCCCAACAGTCGCGCATAACTCGACAGTAGCTGCTGTCAGCAGCTACAGCTAGGCAATCTCGAGAGATGCTGCGCTGTGCTTCGCATGTGTTGGCAAGCGTGCCAGTCGCCAGAGCGGTGTGTAGTCCGGAGAGCTGTATTTAGCACGCTGAATTAGGGTTTACGCCGCGCGTAGTACGCCACAGGACCCAAAATGGGGTTATGGACAGGGATGTAGTTGTGTGGTCTACCGATACCCTACCGATACCCCAACAGATTCCCAGCCTGCGCATGTTGAAGCCCGGGCCCTGTAGCCACTCAGTCCGTACGCTTAGATTGGCAATATGTACATGTATGTATGTGTGCATGTGTTATGATTGTCTGTATGTGTGTATTTATGTATGAATGTAAGTAAGTATGTGTATGTACTTGTGTATGTATGTGTATGTGTATATATATAATATGCATAATATATACATATATATATACATGTATATATGTATATATGTATCTGTATATGTATATGCGGTCCTCAAGTTTTATTCGGCCCCCGCAAGTACACGCACCGATTGAGTTATAGGATAATGGCGCCAAAACGGGGTTTTGTCATTGACGACGACTTAATAGTGAGCCTTTTGAGAAGCTCACGGAGATGGGAATAGAGGGGATCGGCACCTCCGTGATGCTGGCACCACTCCGGATTTCGTGGTTTTCGGTTCAGGCATTGGCGGCAATTGTTTTTCCTTTCGCCAGCAGTTCCTTTTGGGTATAGGTTTCTTTGGGGTCGATCCTTCACCCAGAAGCGCTGTTGCTGCTTTTACACAAACCCTTGTTGATGATTGGATTTGCACTGCTGTCCGGGGAGGGAGAAAGGTGATGGGTGTCTGTCCGGATGCGCCACATACATGCCTGTACTCTTGACTCTTGGGACATGGCTTCAAAGGCTATTGGTTAGAAGCGCGTGAATTACGATGTTTGCTTGGTTCAAGGGAGCAGATGATGAGATTCTTTGTTGCTTCTGCAAGGTCCCTTCTAGTCTATGCACAGGCTGCAGGAATTTTTCATTTCGATCTCCTAACTCTGAGGTGTACCGTCTCTCCAAGAACTTCCACCTGGACGTGTCATTGTTTGAGCGCTTGATACACAATGGTGCAGCCCACGTGTTCTCGCCAGCATTCAGGCAATATTCAGAAGTCTACATACCTAGCTGACTTGCAGATGTTGCTTGGCGGAAGCGCCATGCATGTGGCTTCCGTCGCCGTTTGTTGCTGCCATCTCTAGAGGTCACTCTTCTTCAACAGAGAAGAATGCATCCCAAGATCTCCAGGCTCATCAAACCGTCGAGCACTCAGCTTCGAAAGACGAGCAAGTGATATTTCCCGAAGCTGGTCCATCAACTGAACATGATCGGAAAAGCGCATCGTCGGCACACAAGCCCCCTTGTGGGAGCATGCTTGAGCTCTTGCATGTCGTACATGCGAGCGAACCTCTGCGATGCAGCGCGTCGCTTCAGACAAGCATTCGTGCACGTAAGGGTTCCTGGTCCAGCCTTCGTAACCCTTCGTGGGCGGAGCGGTCAAGAAGGAAGCAGCAAGGAATAGGCAGCGGGGAAGGAAGCACTTGTTAGCCCACAGGAAGAGGTCTCGTCGCATTGCAGGGGAGGTGACTCGTGGGCCGGCTGGAAGAAAAATGGAAAGCATGAAGAGACGTAGTCGCTGCCGAAGACCTGTTTCAGTCTCCGGAACTCAGGTTGTATCCACAACTGCGCGACCACAGCAGCACGGAGAAGTGCCCTCGTGCTTTCAATCACATGCGAAAGGTCTTGGCACAGTTTAGATGAGAATACTGCCGCTTTTCCGGGCTCACAGGAACTGTAGCTGAGCAAAATTCGATCATAGTCTTTTGTCTAGAAGCTCAGTCAGCCGTCGCGTTGCATCCTAGCCCGATGTTCATTCGGATTGCTGCCTTGCTGCTTGCCCCACGACGCCGGGCTGAAATGGACTGAATACGAAGGCAGCATATCAGGAGTGTGGATTGGCTGTGGCGAAAGTTGGCTACCGAGACGTCTGAGCATCGGGGCCGTGTGGTGGCGTTATGCCTGCGTGCCCAGCTTTGACTGGAGATGAGATTTTCTCAACAGTACTGGCAGTATCCACGAGACCAGAAGACAGAGGTGACAAATTTCAAGGGGCCCGTTGAGTCTCGGACCGCTTCTAGCAGTTCTAGCACTTGCAGCAACATATGGTAGTTGATCTAAAGCTCCTGGAGCCATAACTTATATGAAAGGCCAACAGCATAGCTAAATATGCCTTCGCGAAAGTTCCGCGATGGTGCCGCTAAAGTTAATTACTTTGTTGCGAAAGTTAGCATCTGTTTAGCCTACTTGCCGTACTATTATCATGATTATTAATATGACGATTACTAATACTTTTTCTGTTGCTAGTACCAGTGCTATGACGTTGACTATTACTATTGCTATTACTGTTGCTTTTGCTATTACTATTGTGAATCTTGTTATTGCTGTTACAAATATTCCTAGTACTATCGCCATTAGTTCTGTTACATTTATGATTACTATGATTACCATTGTCAGTTTTTTCATTCGTCGTCGTCGTAGTAGTAGTAGTAGTAGTAGTAGTTGTAGTTGTAGTTGTAGTTGTAGTTGTTGTTGTAGTTGTAGTTGTAGTTGTAGTTGTTGTAGTAGTAGCAGTAGCAGTAGCAGTAGCAGTAGTAGTAGTAGTAGTAGTAGTAGCAGCCCCCCCCCCCCCCCCTACCAACCACCTCTGCTGCCAAGCCTCTTAAGAGCACGTTCGTTTTACTCGGTATTTACGGTACGT